CAGCAAAAAATTTTTTAAAGTAAAATAAATTTTAAAATAGAAAAAAGCTTATAAAATAAGGATATAAAGCAAGAAATATTTTTGTACAACATTTGTGTTTTAAGCTAAGCATTATTACAAAAGAGTCAAAAAGTTAAAAAAATTTAAAAGTTTATAAAGTAAAAAAGTTACAGTGAGCTAAGGTTAATTTATTATTGAAGAAATAAAAATATTTTTTATAAATTTAGTGTAGCCTAAGTGTACAATGTTTATAAAGTCTACAGTAATGTACAGTAACGTCTTAGGCCCTCACATTCACTCACCACTCACTCACTGACTCACCCAGAGCAACTTCCAGAACTGCAAGCTCCACTCATGGTAAATGCCCTCTATAGGTGTACTGTGTTGTTGTTTTCTTAATCTTTTATACTGTATTTTTACTGTACCTTTTCTATGTTTAGATACACAAATACCATTGTATTACAGTTGCCTGTAGTATTCAGTACAGTAACATGCTGTACAGATTTGTAGCTTGGGAGCGAAAGGCCATATCACAAAGCCTAGGTGTGTAGACTATACCATCTAGGTCTGTGTAAGTACACTCTGATGTTCACACATCTACGAAATCACCTAATGACATAGATTTCAGAATGTATCCCCATCAACAAGTAACACATGACTATAATTATAGCACACAAGCTGATCCTAAAATTCATATGGAAATTCAAAGGACCCAGAATAGCCAAAATAATGTTGAAAAAAGAACAAAATTCGAAGACTCACACTTCCCAGTTTCAAATCTTACTATAAGGCTACCGTAACCAAGATAGTGTAGTACTGTTGTAAGGATAGACATTTAGATCAACAGAATAGAATTGAGATTCTGGAAACGAACCCTCACTTTTATGGTCATTTGATGATAGTTCAGTGGGGGAAGAATCTTTTCAACAAAACTTGGGGGCAACTGGATTTCCACATGCGAAAGAATGAATTTGGGCCCTTAGCTCATACTATTTAGAAAGATCAACTCAAAATGGATCATAGACCTAAATGTAAGAGATAAAACTAGGAGAAAACATAATGACTCTTCATGACCTTGGGTTAGACAATGGTTTCTTATGTATCACACCCAAAGACCAAGCAACAAAAGAGAAATTTAGTAAATAGTACTTCATGAAAATAAAAGTTTTTGCTTCAAAGGACACCATCAAGAAAGTGAAAAGACAACCCACAGAATGGGAGGAAATATTTGCGAGTTATATCTTATCAGAAACTTGTATCCAGAATAATTCTTACAATTAAACAATAAAAAGAAAAATAACCCAGTTTAAAATTTGGCAAAGAATCTAAATAGACATGTCCCAAAGGAGATGTATGAATGGTCACTGAAGCACATGGAAAAATGGTTGAGATTATTAGTCATTAGAGAAATGGAAATCAAAACTACAGTGAGATACTACTTCATATTCACTAGGATGGTTATAATCAAAAAGAGACAGGGGCCAGCCCAGTGGCCGAGTGGTTAAGTTCACCCTCTCTACTGCAGCGGCCCAGGGTTTTGCCAGTTCGGATCCTGGGCATGGACATGGCACCACTCAGCAAGCCACGCTGAGACAACATCCCACATGCCACAACTAGAAGGACCCGCAACTAAAAATACACAACTATGTACCAGGGGGCTTTGGGGAGAAAAAGGACAAATAAAATCTTTAAAAAAAAAGAGAGAGACAATAGCAAGTGTTGACAAGAAGGTGGGGAAATTGCAAACCTCATACCTTGCTGGCGGGAATGTAAGATGATGCGGTCATTTTGGAAAACAGTTTGGCAGTTCCCCAAAATGTTAAACATATAGTTCCCATGTGACTCATTAATTCCGCTCTACATGTATACCCAAAATAAATGTCCATCCACTGATGAATAAACAAAATGTGGTATATCTCTATAATGGACTATTATTTAGCAATAGAAAGGAATGAAGTATAGATACATTATACAATAGGATGAAAACATTATGCTAAGTGAAGGAAGACAGCCTTGTATGATTCCACTTATAGGAAATATGCAAAAAAAGCAAATAAGTAGAAATGGAAAGTAGATTACTGTTGCCAGGGTCTAGATAAAGTGGAGAATGGGGAATAATTGCTTATGGGTTCTGGGTTGCTTTTTGGGGTGATGAAAATGTCCTGAAATTAGATATTGGTGATGGTTGCAGAACTTCATGAATGTACTAAAAGCCACTGAATTGTATACTTTAAAAAGATGAATTTTATGATACATGAATTATATTTCAATAAAACTGTTATTTTTTAAAAAATAACTATTACGCAAGGTATTTTGGTCATAAATACCAAAAAGAAGAATTTCAGATAATGGAGACATTATGACTAAATTGAGTGGTAGGTGGGTTGAGGATTTATGAAAGGGATGTGTTTGAGCTAAGTGGCTTTTAAAGAAGATGAAGATTTGGATATGTAGCTGTTTCCAAAAGGAAGAGTCGAGAGTCACAGAATTCAGCCTGAGCCAAGCTCAGGAATGTGGGAAAGTCTTTGGAAGGGAAGTTGCAGTGAAAAGATTCAACCCAAGACATAATTGGAAAGGCACGATGGGCCCAGATCAGGGAGGACAGTGAATGCCAGCATAAGGAATCCTCTGCTCTGTTTGGTCAGCTCTAGGAAGTTGATAAAAAGTGACACACCTCAGAGCTGTGTATTAGAAAAATAAATCAACGGCAGAGTGTTGTGTTAAATGGAAGAGGGAGAGCCCGCCTGTGGAGATGCCCGTGAGGAGTCTGTGGCAATTGGTTTCAGAAGAAGGGTTTCCTCTTTTAAATTACCTAAAACTGGAATTACTTTGGTTGTGTCTGGACCTTCTGATACCAACTTGGTGAATTTGCAAGTCTCACGCACGGGTGTTATTCTACTTCATTTCCTGGGAAAATGAATCACATTTCCTGGTAAAGAGCTGTCCAGGGGTGCTGAACAATAGGATGTGGGTCCCTGCTCGGCCAATCTGTTCACTTCGGCTCATTTTCTTCTCCTGTTGCTCACCACCTGGGTTTTTTGTTTTTATTTTCTCTCTTTTCTTCCTTCCTTCTCCTTTTTCTCTCTTCCTTTCTGCTCCTAACTTCATTTTCTGTCCTCCTTCCCTTCAGCTTTACCTCCCCACCTCCAGTCATGAGACACTTTAGCAGAGATAATTACCAATAGTTCTTTGTACGACATAAAGAGAGCTTGATATTAGCTGTATGAGAGAAAAGACAGTGAAGAAACCTTTTCATTGAGGGTATATGGGGACATTGACATACAGGCTGTATCAATGAACATTTTTAGTGGAAAATATGCTAAATATGACAAAATTTTTTCTAGGTAAATTTAATATAAAAGTAGTTGAGGTATGAGGAGGCTCACTATGAAAATTCTTTCAGGCCTATAATTTCCAGATCTCACCAGGAGCTCAACATTCCCATTCGTGACCTGCCGTTAAAGTCTTTTCTGCCACCTTCCTGTCTCCTGTGTAGGTGTCCTGGGTAGCCAATTTGTGACCCTGACTGTGCCTCAAGTCCTGTGTTATGAGTGGTCACCACATTCCTGAGATACAGGGAACTAAAAGATTGTCACATTTTCAGAGGTGCACAATGAGGCCATCTAACTTATCCCAACTATCTAATTTATCATTTCTACCAAACATTCTTTTGATCTTGGATTAATTTGAAATCTCATAACATATAGATGGGGACATTTAAAAGATTGCTAGAGGCATTTCCTTCAAGGTTAGATTTTTCCAGCAGTAAGTGTGCACATGCTATTAGGCTGTTACTTGCAGTGTGGATATAAGGATGGAGTTATCCAAACTCAGAAGGAAGCCTTTTCTTTCAAGAGTCTATCAGGTTTTGTCAGTTTTGTTTTGGGGGGAGTGTTAGTAGAGTGGCTAAAGGCAGCAAGGGTGGGTGGGTTGGTTCTTTTGCCCTATTTAAGTGAGACTGTAAAATTTGTGTTGAGATGTAATATTGAAGACAAAAGCTGTGATATCTTGAAGAAAGGGAAGAGGGGAGGGGGAAGGGAAAGAGGGAGGGAGGGAGCCCAGGGCTGGCCAGGTTTGAAGTCAGAAGTTCTGCTTTTAAATCTTCACTCTGTCACTTGGTTTTTCTGAGCCAAGTTGCTTCACCTTTCTGAGCCTGAGTTTTGTCACCATAAAATGGGGTAGTTGGTAAGATAAATAAATTAACTCATGAGAAGATTCATGTTGTCTGGCTTATTATAAATGTCAAGTCCTGTGGAGACTTGAGATTTCATCATTCATATTTTTAGTAATAATATTTTAACGATATATACAATAGTTTAAAACTCCTCTTTTAGTGTAAGTGTAGTTCTAGAGGTATAATGCTCTGAATAAATTACTTAAATCCTAGTTTGTGAAACCTGGTTATAGCAGAAACTCTGTAAATGAAAATCAGTTGTAGTCTAGAAGTTTATGCTCAGGGTGGCACTGTTTCCCCATAAATTTGGTGATGTTTTCTGTTTTATCCCAATCTGTTCCAAGTCAAGCAAATAACTGGACATGTATTTAGGACCATCTCTGCCTTCTGTAGTCCTCAGGCCTTCTTACCTTGTGAAGTCCCATCCAATATCATGTCCGAGAAATGCACACTTATCCCACATTCACTATAACTTACATATGAGAGTTGAGTCATAATAAACTTGTTGACCTATTATATTTTTGAAGATATTTATTAAAACAATACTTTAGATTTTACAGCTTTCTTTTCGTATTTTGGGATCAGTTTGTTTTCAGGTCTCAAATATGGGAAAAGCTTGTAGGCCCTGGGTCCTGATGGAAAAAAGGACCCAATATAGTTCTTCTCCACACTGATTATAGTACAAGGGGAAATATCCATGTTGATCTTCATTTTCGCCAGTCGTCTGTGTCAAGACTACCGTATTGTCGGAAACTACACATGCATTTCAGAGGTGTGGTCATCCAGGCTTGATGTGAATTATTTGTTTTGTTTTGTTTGTTTTTAGATCCGAGGATTTCTGTCACGGTTTGATAATGTCCTTCCTGTCAGCCTGGCATTTGACAAATGTACAGCTTGTTCTTCCAAAGTAAGTCATTCTGTGTTTGAGGAACTTATTTTTAAAAAATGAGCCTGTCAGCCTTCCCAGCAAGAGGCTTTAAGACCAGCTAAGGGCTTTTTTGTAGGCAGGGATTGGGGTCTAAAAAATCAGAAAAGATTTTCCTGTTTTCATTTGTCTGTATTCATTCTCACAGAGAAAACAGCCTGAGAAGATTTGCTTTATAGTGTACAGAGAGAGACTGAATTTGCATCACAGTAATTTTGGCTTGAACTTGAACTTTACTGGTCTTTGCTCTTCCCCAGAGGGTTCCTCCTCCGGATGGACCGTCGTAGAGCAATTTTTAAGTGTTACTCAGAGAATGGGGCATACCAGGCAGTCCTGGCGGTGTGTCTTTTGGAGATCTACATAATGTCAAAGAAAACGTAAAGAGAGATTATGGGCCTGGATGAGGAGCCAATACAAGGGCTCAGTTCAGCTTTGATCTTTCCAGAGGCTCTAAAAATAGACCTGGTATGTCCTCCATTGTAATGGGAAACGGCTGATGTATCTCAAAACTACAGTGATGGCATCTCATTTTTTAATAGGCTTTGAGACAGTCTGAGTTATTTTTACACGTATACTGTGTGTTACAGCTAATTTCCTATTGGATGCCTCTCTAAGCCTTTCACTGCCCCGTGATTTAACCTGGGCTTTAAAAACGCAGGATTCTTGATAAAACTTTCATGTTGGGGTGTTATGCAAAATAGTGTTAGGTTCATTAATCCCAAACTGTGGCTTCTCAGCTATAATTTGGGACTTCTTTGCTGTGTAACCTACATCTGGCAGTATGGAAGGGATTGAATTCTAGGGAAATTCTCTCCACTCTGAGTTGACAAGCTTTCTTTGAAAACTTGGATCATCTTAGGAGAAGCACAGTTTTGACCAGTTTCTCTAAAAAGTAACTTAGATTTGGCAAATGATATTGATAAATTCGGTTAATTTTAGGTGCTCAAAAATTTAGAGTAATTTTCTTTTTCCTTTAGTAGTAAACTAAGCTCCTGTTATATCATTATGCATCCCAAGTGCCTACTTTGAGATGGAAAGCTTACCATTTTTCAGTAGTTACCCATGAGCTCATTCTCTCTGTAGTTTCTTTAAGGTGTCTTACATCTGCTCAAGTCAGGGCCTCAAGAAGGACTGTGTGCACTTTTGTCTTCAGAAATGCAAGTTTTAGGATTATCTGCTCTTTAGTGGAGCCCATTTTTTTTCTTTGAATGGCTGAGCTAATTGGTCTCAAAATAGCTTGGCAGTATTAATTTTCATATTGAAATCATTTGGCGCAGGTGCCAGAAGTTTTTCTGTGCTTTATGTAGATTGACTAGTCAGTGAAATAAAGATAACTGCGTTCTCTAAGTGAAATGCAAACACTCATTCTGTCTTATTCTAGTTCTAATTAAATTAGCCATTGAGATGCTGTTTATAAAAGAATCTCAAGCATACCAGCTAACTGAGGTCCCTTACATTCTTTAAAAGAGAATAGCTTTGCATTTTTCTTTCACACTTGTTGTAAGCATTATATTAAATGTAGGTATCACTTTTTTGTTGGCAAAATTATTTCCTCTTGGTGGTCATTCTGAGAGTCCTGCTTTACATAAACATGCTGGACGATTTAATACAAACTGACTTGGATTTTCACAGCTGTGCTATTCCCATAGCGATCACTTTTCATGTGGTCTGGGTATTAAATTTCTTTTGTGCTGAAAAGGTTGCTTCATTGGTGCACGTATTTCCTTACAGTAGAAACACAGCATTTACTTACTTGGCTAACTTCTTTATTCGCTTAGGAGAATGTCATTCTCTATTATCTGCAAACCCAACATTAAAACTTTGAAATGACAAATCCAATTACATTTTCGTCTCTGTGTATGTGAATTTTTCTTAACGCATACTTAGCGTAATATTTTTTATACTGAGTCATATCATAGTTGTTATTGTTTCAAAAAGATTCTTTGAGGCTAAAAATGACTTTTAGAAAATTCTCCTTTGACATTCATGAAGTAATTTTTTCCTTTGGTAGTTTTCAGTATTTTTGCTTTTTTTCCGTAGGACCAAGGCCATCCTTGTGTCTTGATTTAACCACAAATACAGACAGAAAGACTGGGGAGGTGGATAATTCTTACTCTGCTGAGTAAGAATGCTCTTGTTCATCAGCTTACATATATATAAGCATGGACCTTCTCTAAGGCCTGAGGTGGTGAAGAATACAGTTCTCTGCTTCTTTGGCAGAGAAGGCCGAATCCTCTACACATCCATCATTTCTTACCCTGTTTGATTTTAGCCTGGCATAGAGCCAGGTGCATTGTTCCGTTGTACAGAGAAAATATTGAACAATCTGGAGGGGGGGTGGTGAGGAGTCGCTTTCATTCCAGTTTCTGTTTATTGCCTCGCAGGACTTCCCAAAGTGACTGTTTCTGCCACTGGAATTTCAAAAACCCTTATTTGAAGTTATATGAGTTGTTTTTGAGTACTAAAAACAAATTTAGAGCCAACTAGAGTTTTCTGGAGTTGCTACCAGAGGGAAAAGTATAATTTTGAAACCAGTATTCTTGAAAGAATTTCTCATAATGCATTGAGTTAGTGGGTTATTATTAGCCTTTCACCTAAATATTTTTGAAGAAGTTAGGGTATTTTTTTTGGTAACTTTCTATTTTGATATAATTTTAAACTTACAGAAAAGTTGCAAGAATAGTACAAGGAACTCCTGTATACCCTTTACCCAGATTCACCAATTGTTTGCGTTTTGCCCCATTTGTGTGCGTACTCTCCCCTACCATCCTCCCTGCTTCCTCCTCGCCCTTCTCTTTTTCTTGAAACAGAGTAAGTTGGAGACGTTGTGGTCCTTTACAACTGAATACTTCAATGTCTGTTTCCTAAGAACAATACTATTTTCTAATCCATAGTCTATTTTTCAAATGTGGTTGTTTGTACCAGGAATGTTCCATATATAGGTTTCTTCTCTCAGACCAGGATCCAATTCAGGATCAAGCATTGCATTGAGTTGTCATGTCTCTTTGGCTTCCCTCAATCTGGAAAACTTCCTTAGCCTTTCTTTGTCTTACTTAACTTCAACATTTTGATATTTTGCCGGCTATTTTGTAGAATTTCCCTAGATTTGGATTTGTGTAATGTTTCCTTATGATTCGATTCAGGTTATGAATTTTTGGCAGGAATGCCAAAGAAGTAATATTGTATCCTCCTGTTAGGAGGCACATGGTGTATCTTATCCCCTTTGGTGATGTTAATTTCCCCCCTCCATATTTGTAACTGCTTTCCCCAACAGTGAGAAACCTGGCTCCCATTATCCTGGACATTTTTACTCGCTTGCTCAAGTCTAGAATACACAGAAAGCAGTTTCAAAATTGCCAGCCCACACTACTGCGGAAAGTAAGCCTACTAACTAAAGTTTGATATTTGTGCATGATTCTTTTTTTCTAGGTAAAATTTACATACAGTGAAATGCATCAATCCTAAGAGAACAATTCTATAAGTTTTGACAAATGTATACACCCACGTAGCCTACATTTCAATCAAGATACAGAACGTTTCCATTACCCCAGAAAGTTCCCCTGTACCCCTTTCCAGTCAACGTTGGGGAAGGTGCCAGTCTGTTGAGTATCGTGACCATCCTCTTTCCCTATTAGGAGTAAAGTTGGCACCTTCCGGTGTTTTGTGCAACAATAGCCTTGTTTCTGGGACCCAGAAGTTGACCAAAACTTCTCTCGGATCTGCAAAGTCAGGAGCAGGGCTGTGCCTGAGGAGGCTGTATGCAGAGTAGTCTTGCTCTCATTGCACAATTCTGTCACCCACAACCATTGCAATGTTGGAGGAGCAGCCTGTTATGAAGAAGCAGGCCCCAGACTTGGTTTTCAGACCATCTGGGACCTGCCTACTGCACAGATATAGCAAGATATGCCCAGAAACCTGATCTTGAGATTTTAATGAGCGATTAGCAATCCTAATAATATGCTTGTTCTGGTGTTTACTATGAGATGGGCTCTTCTGTGGATGGATTATGATTAAACTTCCCAAAGTGACTTGTTAGGAGCTTTTTGTGTGCGTCTGTGTATGTGAGTCATGAGGAGTGATAGGGAGAGGGTAGTGTAGGAAGAATATCTGTCAGCTGGTATCATCATATGGTAAATTATACTTTCTTTAGCCTTTGTCATAGCCAATCTGTCCGTTTATCTTTTGATATTATATAATCCTACCTTCTCTCATATTTCTTTGTTACTAAAGAATCATGAAGTACCCAAATTTAACTCAGCTATTTAAACTTTCTTTAAAAAAAAAACCTCTGTCCCAAAGCAGCCTGTCACTTAAGAGTTCTGCAGATGCACCAGTTAGAGGATAGAAAGGCAACTCATAGATTTGGGAGGAAAGATTAAAGTCTTACTGTATGACTCTTAGCAGGCTTCCACTTATTCAACTGACATTTGAATCCGTGCTGTGTGCCAGAGATACAAAGATGATTAAAAGAGCCCCTGCCTTTAAGGAACACTATCTAGAGGCTGAGACAGACCTATAAACCGATAATGATCTCCCTTATATTGTGATGTGCTCTGCAGTCAAGGTATATCCTTTGTTACGGTATCCTACTACCAAGCAATTTTGTAAATGGGGAAACCAGGGAGGGTCTTGCAGACAGTGACTTCTGAGTTGATGTTAAAGGACAAGTAGGACTTTCTAGAAACATGGGAGAGAGGACAAGAGGAAGGCATTCTAGGCCAGGGAATAGCCTATATATATAATAGCCAGAGGCAAGAAGACATGGCATATTTACGAAGTTGTTCAGTAAAGCAGTTGTCCGGGAGCCTAGGGCACCTAATTCCTTGCAAATTGTCATCTTGTCTTTGTGAGTGCCATTTTAGTTTCGGCTGTTCTTTGAGCTGGAATCTGCTGTACTTTTCTAACACTTGAAGCTGCTGTTTTGAGTTTTACAATTCCGTATAAAACTCTTCCTCACCTAGCACCAGGCATAGGGGGTTTCC